TCCCTCTTTGAAAGGCACCAGGTACCTATTGATGTCTCAGAAAGGAGATTTCAAAGATTCTACTGCCATCTTGTGGACAAGCATACATCTTCCTTTAATTTGGGCCACGTGCTTAGAGCCTAAGGGTCAAACCGCATTACAGTACTTGTGCTCGGGACAGGCCAGCTAGTTCTTCATTTGAGCTTAAAATATGACAGGATGGTTTTTCTGAGAAGCGCAGAATGTGATTTTGCACGTCATCTGAATGCTTGCTGAACTGTGCAGAGCAGGAGTGTGCAAAGGCACAGGCTTAGCTGATTATTAAGAGCTGGTGGGAGTAACAAGTTCTCTTGCATCCAGCTTCATCACCAGAGGCTGAAGTTGCCTCCATGGCACCGAGTGCCTCTTACCAGCTTCAGCCGCTTTGCCACAGCTGCAGCCACTCCTGGGCAGAGGCATTCTGGCCAGAGTCCTCCGTGCTCTGCTGGTAACCTCCCGATTGGATGGGTGCAATACTTTACATGCTGGACTGCCTTCAAAGATGGTTCGGAAGTATCAGCTGGTCCAGAATATGGCTGCCAAGATTATGGCTGGCACTGCATATTTGGATCATATCTCGCCAATGTTCGGGGGAGAGAAATCCACAAGCTGCCTGTTTGCTTCCGAGCCCAACTCAAAGTGCTAATACACAAATGAATACCTTCTCCTATACAATCCTGGATGCATTCTCAGATAATCATAAGAACATCAGAATGTTCCAGCCCTTCTGGTCTCATGCCTAGCTCCACTGAGTGTTGCTAAGGAAGAATTGTTCTATCCTTCAAAATATAGGTGCTACAAAAAGTGGATCAGCCTGGCTTTAGTACTCAGTGATGGTCTGGGAAATTGCTGTGATACCATAGTTGACTCTTCCAACATTCAGGTTCATTGCATGTCCACGAGTTCTAGTGTTAAGAGAGAGGGAGAAACAACTTTTCTCTATCTGCTTTCGCCATTGTTCCTACCCACAAACTGGTATCTGTGAAATTGGCTACCCAGAGCCCTGAAGACCTCTCCATTCACTTGAGCTCATCTCCTTGAGGTAGCTCCAATTTCTTGGTGATATGAATGGCCATTGCTCGCTATTTCAGCTACGATAACCAGCATTTGAACTGCAATAAATGAGGCCAATCAACATTACTTTTGTCTCATTACTTCAAGAGCTTACACATAAATTTCCTCTTATCCCTTTCCCCCTTTGGTCTGGAATTAGCCATGGCATTCAGTGTCTGCTATTATACCCAGGTCTTCTCAACTGGAGATCAAACGGTTTGATCTCTGCTGGGTTCAGCAAATTGATTGGCAAACAGGTTCTGCTTGCTTTGGTTTAGGAAAATCTAGGGTTTTTTCTTCTTCTATCTTATCCAGCTCTCTCAGTTTTCCCCGCTGTACTTTATACTCTGTGCGGTAAAGGTTTGACATTGACACCACATCGAAGAGAGTTAAATGGCAACACTCGTATTAAGCCACTAACATCTCCCTCTTAACTCTGCTATATTTTTATTTAGATGGCAAAAAGGGGAGAGGATTCCAAAGATTCCTGGGGTTGTTTTACTGCAACCCAATGATACATGAGCCGCTGCCCTGTAGGAAAGTAAAAATTAGAGCCTATCGTAATATGGTGTTTAGAAAGTGGATGACTGCATTTGGATATTACAGAACATTGGTACATCTTCTGAAAGAGGCTGTCATTAAACCGTTTCTTAAAAAAATATCTTTAGACCTGGCCCATATGGCCAACTATTGCCCATTCTCAAATCTTCCATTCTTGGGCAAGGTGATTGAGCGAGTGGTTGCTGAACAACTCCAGGGACGCCTGGAAGGAGCAGACCATTTGGATCCCTTCCAGTCAGGATTCAGGCCTCATCATGGGACTGAAAGTGCCTTGGTCGCGCTGGTTGATGATCTCCAGCGGGCTAGGGACAAAGGTGAGAGTTGTTTCCTAGTTCTGCTGGATCTCTCAGCGGCCTTTGATACCATCAACCATAACATCCTTCTGGACCATCTAGAAGGGCTGGGAGCTGGGGGAAATGTTATACAGTGGTTCCGCTCCTTCGTCCTGGGCCGTGTTCAGAAAGTGGTGGGGGGGATGAGTGTTCAGACCCCTGAGCTCTCACTTGTGGGGTGCCTCAGGGTTTTGTCCTCTCCCCCATGCTTTTCAACATCTGCATGCATCCGCTGGGAGAGATCATCAGGGGGTTTGGGTTGGGGGTTCATCAATATGCGGATGGTACCCAGCTCTACCTCTCTTTCAAATCAGAACCAGTGAAGGCGGTGAAGGTCCTGTGTGAGTGTCTGTCTGGAGGCGGTTGGAGGATGGATGGTGGCTAACAGATTGAGGTTGAATCCTGACAAGACAGAAGTACTGTTTTGGGGGGACAGGAGGCGGGAGGGTGTGGAGGATTTCCTGGTCCCCAATGGGGTAACTGTGCCCCTGAAGGACCAGGTGTGCAGCCTGGGAGTCATTTTGGACTCACAGCTGTCCACGGAGGCACAGGTCAATTCTGTATCCAGGGCAGCTGTTTACCAGCTCCATCTGGTACGCAGGCTGAGGCCCTATCTGCCTGCGGACTGCCTCGCCAGAGTGGTGCATGCTCTGGTTATCTCCCGCTTGGACTACTGCAATGTGCTCTATGCGGGGCTACCTTTGAAGGTGACCCGGAAACTACAACTAATCCAGAATGTGGCAGCTAGACTGGTGACTGGGAGCGGCCACCGAGACCACATTGAAAGACCTACATTGGCTCCCAGTACATTTCCGAGCACAATTCAAAGTGTTGGTGCTGATCTTTAAAGCCCTAAATGGCCTTGGTCCAGTATACCTGAAGGAGCGTCTCCACCCCCATCATTCTACCCGGACACTAAGGTCCAGCACCGAGGGCCTTCTGGCGGTTCCCTCACTGCGAGAAGCCAAGTTACAGGGAACCAGGCAGAGGGCCTTCTCGGTAGTGGCGCCTGCCCTGTAGAACGCCCTATCACCAGATGTCAAAGAGAACAACAACTACCAGACTTTTAGAAGACATCTGAAGGCAGCCCTCTTTAGGGAAGCTTTTAATGTTTGACAGACCACTCTGTTTTGATACTTCGTTGGAAGCCGCCCAGAGCGGCTGGGGAAACCCAGTTAGATGGGCGGGGTATAAATAATAAATTATCATTAAAATTATCATTATCTCTCTCTCTCTTGACTACACTGATCAGCAGCAGCTCTATGAGTTCATTTATCTATTATTTTTGTTGTTTCATAAAAATTATACATAGCTTGATTGTAAAAAAACCCAACAACGCTAAAAGTGGTTTAAAGGTAAAATAATAAGAAAACTTGACAACAATAATTTTAAGACTTTCAAAAAGTTAACATAACGAAAGAATAAAAACACATTGAAACTCACACCAACTTTCTAAAGGCTTGTCTAAACAAAAAGAAAAAGGGAAGGCGCTTTCTTGATGTCAATGGGCAGGGAGTTCCAAAGTGTAGGTGCTGCCACACTAAAAGATAGATTTATTACCAATGTGGAATGGGTATAATGTGGCACCTTGTAACAGTGCCAGTTCCACAGATTGAGGTAGTCAAGCGGGCCTATGTGGGGTAAGGCTCTCTCATAGTTTATGAAGTATGTTATGTGTGGAGGGGAGGTGTCAATTAAAGCCACTGATAATTGGAGGGTCAAAGGAAATAATGTTATATGACCTATGCTTTTACCAGATGCATTTAAGAAGCACCAAATGATCGTATGAAATGGCACTGAGACTCCCTTTGTGGGTGCTGTCTGTAAGGGTCACTGAACAGCGCAGAGGGGAACCTATATTTTTGGGAAGAAAAGAAACAGTTTGGGTAACCACGTAAAATATTCTCCCGAGAATCATGAGCGCTTTTCCATCTGATTCCAGCTCCTCCAAGGAAATCACCCCGAGGTGAATGTTTGGGTCAAAGTTAAATACAGCTGCTTGGGGAGTTTGTGAGTATGAAAACAGACTAATTTGGGGCATATGTCATTTTTATGGCCCTAATTTCCTGTATTACATGCAGAAATGGTCCATAAATGGCACAGAAGAATTTAGTAAGCTGAATCCTAAAGAACCTTTTTTTTAAAAAATTTGCAAAACTGGGTCTTTCTTTATGAAAGTATCACAAAGAAAGTCTTGACACCTCCATTTTTTGCAAGATCCTTCCCTTCAAGTTCTTTGTGTTGCAAATCCCTATCCTAAGCATTCTTAGGTCTTCTATTGTTAAGATCGGGTTTTTTTTATCCACTGCTTTCTAAGAAGCTGTCAGTCTTCTACTATTAATGTTTGGCACCTTTATTTATTCTTATGCTTCTAACATACTAAAATGCAAAGGTTGTTTATTATCACCCTGCTGAAATATTTCCCTAAACTAACCCTGTTTTTATTTCTTTCTAAGTTTTTTTTTTAAGGCCCAAAGGAGAGTTACAATCATGAAAAATACAGCTATAAAAACAGATGAAACCATTACAATGATAAGATGTGTCCAACTCTTCCAAATGGAACAGAACACAAAAGAGGTGGGTCCCACAAAACAAACTTGTCAGAGGCTGAGGTAAAGAGGTGCGTCTTCAGCTTATGGCAAAATACAATAAAGATAACTAGACACACCTCAGTGGGGAGGGAATTTAAGGACTGCCACAGAGACCACCCTCTCTTAGGCCTCTGTCTCCCAAGAGAGTCTCCTGTGCAGATTTTTAACAACCAGGTGTTAGCAGTCAGTTAAGTAAGGAGTCCCGAGAGAAAAGTCTTGATAATGCAGAAAAGGAGAGGGTATGAGAAAATCCGGATTGTGGGAGGGGAAAGTGTGGGAGGGCAACGATGCAGAGGAGAAAGTCGTGATGGAGAACTAATGGAGGGGCAGGAAGCATGCTCTCCAAGGAACAGTGTGAATGAGCTGTGGGGTGCTAGCCCCTGGGGGACCCCCCTTGGAGTGTGACATCTAGGCTCAGGCTCTGGTATCTCCTGCCTGGAGAGCCACTGTCTGTCAGAGTAGACAATACCAGGCTAGATGGACCAAAAGAAAATCTAGCTTGGTATGAAGCAGCTGCCATTGGTTTCGTTTAACCCAAGTCTCCAGCTTTAACTGGGAGGTTTGAGCACCGTCCATATACCCTTAGGTGGATAAAAGCTTTATCATAGCCAGATGCCGTTCGTGGCTTGAGGTCTGGATTTTATTCCATGAGAAATTATATCTCTTGCAACTGAAGCGCTGATGTAGGGCGGGTGGTCTCTGAGCCAGATGGTTTTGTCCCAAATGTTCCAGATTTATGAATTTCTCCTGGTGTCATGAAGGAAATGGCAAGTTGCAATGCTTGTGGAAGGGTTCTCCTTGAACAGGTATCTATGAATATATATATATATATATCCTAGATTGTATATATTATCAGTGTATGAACATTCTTGGAGATGAGAGAAACGTTCCAATTTCTATTGTTCCAAAGAAGTTTATATCGTTTTCTAGAATTACCCGGCATTCTGCCTCCTCCCTTTTTAGTTTAGTGCTCCCTTTTCTTTTTCCTGTTCTGATTTCATCTTTTAATAGGAATTTCATTCATTCTGGCCAGGATCCATAGAGCAACTTTAGACACACTCCAAAGCTCATGCACGTTCTAATAGAATGATTTAAACCAGTGGTTTCCAAACTTTTTGGGGCCACCACCCACTTGGTTCCATAAGCTCATCCCCGGTGCCCCCTACCCTATAAAAAAACCAATATTCAGAAAAATGGTAACAACACAATACAATTCAAAGCAGTAACAATGAATTGCACATTTATTCAAAATTCAATTAAAACCAATGAGTTAATTCAGCAAAATGGATGAACTTGATCCAGTGATGCCAGTCATTTACACCTCCAGCACTCCCTGCTTCCCCCTTGCCCTATAGCGCCACCCTGAGTAAGTCTCCCAGCCTTGAAAGGGGGCAGCACCACCCACGTTGGGAACAACTGGTTTAAACTAACCTTGTGCCTGGCTATACCATAAACTGCTTTTGAAACCTTCCATTACAAAAGCACTTTGACAGTATGGTGTAGTGGTCAGAATGTTGAGCTAATTTACTGTGGTCGAAAGTAGGCATTGGGTGGAATTCAGTTCTTTAATTCCCTGCATTTTTATGTTTTAAAAACCCTTTGTACAGTAGGCGAATGTCTACACACGTTCTCACACACCTCTCTGTCTTCAGTCCAGTCTCACACACCTGTCTTCAGTACAGACAAGCAATAGACACTATCAGAGTTCAGAAACACAGCACAGCAAGGCAAAACTAGCTGGGGTGTGAAGCAGGGGTACTGAGGGGTGTGCCCTGGGGGAGAGTATTTGGCTGTACAGTAGTATTTAATCCCTGGATCTGAGGTTCCTCACCACTTCCTTAGAGAAAGGATAGCATAGAAATGAAATAATTCAGCCTGGGGTTTGTAGTTGAGGGAGTCTGCTGTTTGAGGAACACAAGTCCAAAGCCCCTTTGGGAAATATGGAATTACTTGCTTTGTTCTTTGGATCCTGACCTTATCTTCTAACTAACTGGAGACTTTATTCTTGCAGAAATATTTATTTATGCCATTTTTAATCATACTCCGCAATAAGATGAGTTGCTTCATTTCCTCACCCCCTTCTCCACTCTTTGAAAGAAAACTGGCAGGCAGTGATTCTTGTTGTCTTCTTTGAAACCTTACCTGAACCCATGAGCTGACTCCAATGAAAAGCATCAAGGTTGTGTGAAGTGGTACAAATGTTATATCAGATTTGTTCGCTCTTCGGTGGCTCATTCAAACATGCTGCAGTTATCAAGGGAAAATGTGTGTGCATGAACCGTCCCTCAGGCATTGGATTCTGAAGTTCATCTGAGTTCAGCTTTGGGATTCAGGGTGGATGGGTGAGTGGATTTATTGCTACAAATCCAGCTCAAGCTGCTTCACATATGACTCCTCATGGCCTCCCATCCAGGCACTGGCTAGGTCCAGACGTGCTTAGCTTCAAGAAGCTTGCTGCTTTTTCTACCTTCTATCCTAAGATACAAAAGCTAATTGACTATGAAAGTTTCGCAGCTCGGTTTCTGAAAATGTTCAGATTGTGCAACTCTGATTCAAATCAATGTAGAGTTTGGTTGAACAGCATCTCTGTCAATCGTTCAAAGAATTAGTTTAGAAAAAAGCCCCCAAGAGGGGAGTTGCAATAGCCCTTTGATCACTCTGGTTGTCCTTTCTGAACCTTTTCCAGCTCTGCAACATTCTGTTTGGGACGAGGAGACCAAAACTGTCCACAACTGGCTCCATTGAAAAAGCATTCGCCTGGATGCAAATAATGGTGAGTAGAGGAAAATTAGTCACTGGTGCTGCTCTGCAAAGCCTCACTCAAGAGCTCATCCAATGCAGTAATAGGATAGAGGATGCTAATCGTTCTCATACTTCTCTTTTGGGTTTAGATTTGCTTTCCTTGGATAGCTCTCTAGGATAAGATGCAAAACAGTCTTTCCATAAGATTTCAGATCTGTTCCACATGCCAAAACAGCCACACATTTGAATTCAAGCCATTGAATTGGATCCCAACTAAGTGGAACTTAGGTCCCATTGAAATCAATGTGACAAATTAATCATGACTTACGTTAAGGGGGAGTTACCGTAACTCAGTGGCCTTTTGTTCAAAAGGTCCCAGGCTCAACCACCAGCATCTCCAGGTAGGGCTGGGAACCCCGAAGAGTTACTGCCAGTCAGTGTTGACAATACACCAATGGTTTGACTTGGCAGAAGACAACTTCCAATGTTACTAAGTTCCATTGATTTCATAGAATCATGGAATCAAGAGTATTCTAGAGTTGGAAGGGATCCCAAGGGTCATCTAGTCCAACCCCCTGCAATGCAGGAATCTCAACTAAAGCATCCATGACAGCATAGGAACCAGATCCAGTTAACTTAGTCTGGGTCCAACCCATTGCATTGTAGATGACACATAGTGTAGTATAAAAGTTCTGTTGGCAGTGATTAATCTGTGTTCGCTCCTTGGTGCATGATACAACTCATGAGTTATGAGTGTACATATAATTAACTAGCTCTACATGTGCTTTGGGACACTTTATCATCTCATCACTTGCTCTGTGATGGGGCCCTGACATTAATTAAAATGGGTTCCAGGGCTCAGCCCTGCCTCAAATTAAGCCCACTATGTTGAATGATAGTTTTGAAAAACCAAGGCCTGAGTGGCTTGCTAATTAACACATTTCCCCTCCCAGCTTATGCAGTGAGTACAGTTGGTCAAGCCATCTGGACCTGCTGCTTTTCCTCTATTCATCTTCTTTCTAAAAGGCAATAGATTTCAAACGCACAGGTACGTCACATGCCATCTTTACAATGACTGCTTCCAATGCCCATTAAGACCACTGCTCGGAGCAGGAATGGAGAGCACAATATTAGTATTGCAGTAATATCGTCATCCTATTACAGTTATAACTTCTAATGATGCATAGGGAAAAGATTCAAATGAAGCAAAGTTCAGCCATGTGAAATCACATCTGACCATGATGTCTGGGCCTCGGATTAATTATGGAGAAGTCAACACATCAAGTTAAAAAGGCTATAAGAAAGACGCAACCTGATTCGAATAACAGAATCATAGAATTATAGAGCTGGAAGGGACCCAATGGGTTATCTAGCTCAACTCCCTGCAATGTATGTTTAGGAGGAGAGAGGATGCTCCAGGGTAGGTCCACAGGTTAGTGGTAGAGCGTCTGCTTTTCATGCATAAGGTACCTGGTTCAACCCCTGGTGTCTCCAGGTAGCGATGGGAAAGACTTCTGTTTGAAATACCGGAAAACAACTGCCAGTCAGTACAGTATAGACAATATTGGGCTAGATTGAACAAAGATCTGACTCTGTATGCAGCAGCTTCTTTTGTTTTAGTTCCTGTGCTTACTTCTGAGTAGTGGCACCCTAGTGAAGGAATGCTGTCCCCAAAGAAGCTTGCCTGACACCTGCATTCAGCACCAGGTGAAGGCATTTTTATTCTCCGAGACTTTTTAAAAACAATGGTTATTTTGGGTGGTGTCCAATGCTAAGCCTACTCAGAGCAGGTCCATTGAAGTTAATGGGCACAACTAACTTAAGGTCAGTTATTTCACCGGGTCTATTCCAAGTAGGACCTTGTAGTTGGCTGCAAGCCTTTTGCGCTAGTTTACACACACACACTGATGCCGACTTTCAGAGCTGCTTTTAATGTTCTTGATCTTACACTGCTTTCGCATGAATTATAGCGATGCAAGTTTCTTTTATTGATTGTTTTTATTTTGACTGCATTTGTATTGCATTTATTTTTAAATCTGTGAAATACCCAAAGGCATGGTTCATTGGGCAGGATATAAATGCCAAGAACAAATGAACACTTGAAACAGGTTATAAGGGTTCAAATAAGTTTGACTTTCCTGTCCTTCTGCATCCGTGTCATGTGTGGAGCTGCTATTAAGGGCTGGTTAGAGGACTCCCCTCCCTGTTTGCACCCATCTCCTCTTCCTCCTCCCTGTTGCATATTCCTAGAGTGGGGAACCTTAGGACTAAAGGCTGGTTGTGGCCCTCAGGAGGTATGGCAGGCCCCATACCTCATTGCATCTTCCTTGACTGCTTTTGCCTGTTTTGAATGCGTCTTGAATTCTGCAGATGACTTTTGCTTGTCTGGATGGAAAGGTAAAGGGCTGTGTGAAAGGGTGCAGAAATGAGCCTACCTGCATCCTCCTCCCGCCATTCAATCATCCAGCTGTTGAGAGTAAACACCTATAATAAATCAACACCTGCAATAAATCACCTGAACCGGGGCGGGGTCAATAGAAATGTAGTCTCTTTTTCCGTCACTGATTCCTTCCACTTGTTGCCATGTAGAGTGTGTTTGTTCAGGCTTCCCTCCCTCCCTCCCTTCCTTCCTTCCTTCCTTCCTTCCTTCTTGTCCAGCTAGTCTTTCTCTATATCCCTTGGTCTTGGAGCTTCCTCTTGTTAACCTCATGACTCCATGATAGCAACATGTAAGCTTGTGCTCAGAATGGCTTTATCTCCCAGGAGTAATAAACCTTTAGTTTCCTTATTCCAACAACCAGCCATCTTACCAGACTATTTATTCCCGCACTCCATATATACACACACAAAACTTAATGCCTGCAAAGCTGTCTACCATTTTGGTCACTGCTAGGATGAGACGAGAGCTTCTGATTCCTTGTTGGGTAAGCAGGACCTTAGGAGACTTGCTGTCCTGGAACAATCAACCTCACCAGGACGTGGTGATCTTAGATCTGTTTCTATACCAATAATTACACATCACAACGTCCCAGGCAGGAATCATGCCCAATCAACCCCCACTTCGCACCCTCATGGCATTCTAAAATTTGGATGGGATACAGACAGAATGCAAACTCAATTGTCTGTAGGACTTGCAAAAACAATCATGTGACCCTCTTTCCATCTGCATGTTAATGCCTGTGTTTTTTAGAGTCTCACTTAAGTTCTCGACGTACACTTCTATTCAGAGGCTCATGCTGTACTCTGGGTTTAATATACTATTTGCTTAATGGCCCATTGACATAATCATTTGATATAGATCCTAGTCATACCACATTACCAGGTTGTGATATATTAATATAGCTACATATTAATGTTGGATGGGAAACCTATTACATCATTATCCATGAGCAATTAGTTGCTATCTGTCGCAGGTATACACATCTAGAGCTAAGTCATTAGGGGCCCTGCATTTTCAAAGTGCTGGACACTCACAGTTAAGATTGAAATCAACTGGAAATCTTGCTAGATCTATCACTGACGTGTGTGTGCGTGCACAAAAAAGGATTTGCTATAATTTCCTACAACTGAAGGCAAGAGGAGAGTGCAATTTCTCTAGAATAGTGAGAAAAAAGATGGGCTGTGTCCAGTATTAGTCCACTCAAAGTAGATCCATGGAAATTTATGCACACAACTAGCAGCTGAATACTTTGTTTTGTTTTGTTCCAACAGGTTTTTCCAACTGGATAAATGGGTCTTTACCATGAGCGTCCTTTTGGTAGGATTTTCATCTTGTTTTAAATGTATTTGTAGTTTTTGTGTTTTTAATTGTCTACTGTGTCAATCACCTTGGTAAAGTATTGTAAAATGTGATTAATATATTAATTATAGCAATGATAACTTAGGTCCATTAATTCTAATAGATCTACTCTGGGCAGGACCTCGCTGGAGACAATCAACATAGCTTAAGGAACCATTTTGAGATGCACTTTTTGCTGACCAAAATTGGTCTAGCTTGGCTGAAGATAAAGGTCTAATTTTATGCATGTATTTTCATCAGAAGCTAAATAGGATTGGACAGAAGAGGTTTACAAGGCTAACTGTGCAGGAGGGACAATGGATCACTCTGGATTTCTTTTAGAGTGTATAGCATACACCCAGTTTACAGTTCAGTGCAACTATGATATTACTGATGAGCCTTGGGTTCATTTGGATTGAGCTGACCCAAGGCGGTTTGGGCTCTGCAGGTGACCACTGATCACTTTGTATTGTTTCAACAGTGAGTCAAATGTCAAATATAGATCTACCAAAAAACAAACAAACAAACAAAAACGGTTGGGTGGTATTTCATGGAAGCAGCAAAAACAGAATCCAACCACATGAAAAATATTAGCATTTGCTCATAAAACACCTTTAGAAGAAGAAAACAATTTGGAAAACTGCACGATTGCTTCCATGTGTGTGCATGCAAATATAGATGTACAGTTCATAAACCTACCAAAAAGAATGATCCAATTCTCAAGTTGCTCTAAAAAGAAATGCCAGTTATTGTATCTGAGCGACAGTGCTCATCAGCCAAAAATACTTACCCAGTTTTTGGAAAGACCTTTCACTAAACATTGGATAGCTCCACATTGGCCAGATGTAGGCCATGTGCTAAATTACTCTTTATTACTGGAACGTATTTTGGGTTCAGGGCTACATAACTTTGGAAGCAACACGTTTGCCAAAGCTATGGGATTCGCTATCACAGCTCAGCACGTTTCATTTCTAGCTTTTCATAGCTTTTAAACAACTGTTTTATATTTATTTGGACCTGATTTTATTGGGTTGTGGTAATTATTTTTGCTGTTCGGTAGTTTCTTAACTTTATTATGTCCATACTTGCTTAGATTTTAACTGACCAATTTTTAATGAATTGTTAGAAGCTCTGGAATCCCTTATGGGTTGAAGTATAGAATAAGAATGTACAAAAGATACAAAAATTAATAAACAGTTTTGCTAAAAAATGATGCTGTTATGCATTCTCCTGTTTTATATGTGATGAAATTTCAGGGATCCCTCAGAAAAACAATTTTTGGGTAGTGCAACCAGTTTGGCTGCACTGGGCATCACAACAATGATTTAGAACGGAGTGTGAGAGGCAGGAGACGCACCAAATTTTTGTCCACAACTGCCTTCAGAGTTCTGAAGGAACCTCCTAGCTGTGACTTTTTATAAGACTCAGCTGCAACTCCCAGCTGTTTCCATTTTTGCAGACACTGAACACGTTCTTACATAATTGTAAGCTGGACTTGGCTTGTATCAGGAATGAGCTGCGTACTTGTGCCCACTACAATATTACTCCCACTTAGTTCTTCCCCTGACCACAAGTTTATCATGGTTCATCCTCTGTAACAAGTCAACCACAAACCATGGCTACAAGTTGGTGAGCAATCATGATTTGTTAGGGAGCAACAAGCCACAACTCCTGGTTTGAAGGTAACACAATCACCAAGGCCGCCTGGTTTGTTTATCACATACATGCTAGGCAACAAGTGATACACAAGCAAACTGGTAGCTGATGTCAAAGAGGACCATACTTGTGAGGAGACTGTGATTCCCGAGGAGTCTTCCCCTTATCCTGCGTTTTTGGAGGGCCTGGCTTTGCTGACTTTTCAACAGTTTCAATGTTTCCCTGAATACATGGGAACCACGTGTCCTTGAGCAAACCCAACCACAAACCACAGAGCTGATCATGTAGGGTGTCTCCCAGAGGAATGGGCACCTGGGAAGCACACAAGAAATCAGCCCGACCCACATGGATCACCCTCACCCCCAGATCTAGTTGGGTCCTATGCGCCACTAACAGCTGGGCTCTTCCAGCTGTGGCATGATGCAACTTCAATGACTCAACCATGTGGATGAAGCTGATTGCATGTGTTCACCAGGTCCCCATTCTATATGATCAGCCCTGACTAGGTGGCCTGCATCATTCAGATGCAGCCCCCTACCCCATGGTGCTGGCTCACAGACGAGTGCTTCCCATGTGGTCAGGAGAATGTTCAAAGGTCACCAGAGCTGGGCCAAAAAAAGAGACAAGGGGAAAGGAAGAGCAATTTTTGTCGGCTCCAGACACAGATGAAAAACCTTTGTCTCTTCCTCTTGAACTTAAGACAACTGGCAGCCATATGTGTAAGCAAACAAAAGTTTTACTACTTTGCTCTTACAGAGATCACTCTCAGATCTTTATTTCTCTGCCAGTTGGCTATGGAATGAAGAAGAACAATAGATTCAAGATAAAGCTATTTGCATTTGTGATGAACGCAAGGACTATCTACCTTGCATTATCCTAAAAAAAAGAAAGAAAAGAAAAATTAAACCACATTTTTAATTAACTGATAAACTATTAATCAAATTTTTGCAATGTTAGGTGACACATTATTCATTTAGATAGAATGACTGTGAACTTAACTAATCAAATCTGATTTGCTCACATATGCTTGATTGAAATACATTTTAACTAGTATATACAAAGAGAAAATCTTGGATTTCTTACCTAATCTTCAGAGTATACTGCTGAGTTAATAAGGGCAGTATTTTTTTTTTAGACGAGACCACCATTTCTTAATCTGCATATCAAAATCAAGAGCAACTTAATTGCAAAACACATATTCCTGAAATCTAATCATTATACTGCTTTAGGGTATTTTATTGAAGCATGTTAAATTATGGACAGAATATTAATGATGAAGCTAATCAAACCCAATTAGTCACTTCTAACAATAGTCACATAAATATACAAGTCAGGTACTGAAGTACCGTAGGTAAGGTTTTAATTTTTTTATATCAAATTCATGTGGTATTTATGAATTACATACTTGTTATTTTTAATCTAAAAATCTAGGACAGGTCATTTCAAAGAAAATGAACAGGGCTAAAAGGCAAATGAATCTCTTTCATAATATTTGTATTGGTGCTATTGGTTTTTCAATGTATATATACTATGTTTGCTGCAATGCTGCGCATATGGAGAAATTATGTGAGCGGAAATACTGGAATGAAAAATGCATGTAGGAATTGCATTAAGAATATATCTAAACGCAGATTCTGCAACAGAAGATCAGTGCAGTGCAGATATTAGTCATGTGTTTGCCTCTGAACATACCTGTGTAAGAATTTTGGTTTTACTGCAGGATCAGACCAAACGCCTATCTAGTCCAGCATGCTGTTCTGACAGTGGCCAGCTCAACGCCTATGAAGGACCCAAGTGCAACAGCACTGTCTGTGCTTGCATTCCGAGCAGCTGGAATTCAGAGCCATCATGGACTTGCAGCTATTGATCACTGTATTCTCCATATATTTGTCTAATCTGCTTTCAAAGGAACCAGAATGAAGTAAATGCCTGCTGAACTTCATTAACTGTTTTGATTTAATGTACTCTTTACCCCCAACAGATGCATTTCTGTATGCATTGCTTGGCTGCAAAATTTGGAGAAGTGTGAATTTTGAAGGGTGTGTGTGCTTCAGTTAATGCATTCGTTTGGAAAGCGCAAATTCAGTAGGGTGGCCTTCAAGGGTGAACTGCATCTCTTCCCCAACATCCCTACCTTTCAGCAGCTGATCACAAAGAAGCAGAAACAATCCTAAGACAATAGTTGAAAACAACAGAACGAAGATGGTGGTGTTTGGTGTGTGTATATAGCAGTGGAGTACAGAAATAAATAGTCCGGCGGGAAGGAATTAGTGAAGAAAGAACAGGTTGCCTTTTTGTCTACCTTCCCTCCAGTAGTTGAGGTAGCTTTCTGCAAGCACCGTCACTTTACTTCCAACGACAACAACAAAATCCCACAACAGATGCAGACTTCACAAGGAAGCAACCGGATACAAAGTAAGTTCACACAAGGCTCAAACACCAGCTGAAACACACAAGACAATAACCTTGCTTGAGTGTTATTCCTGAACAGGCTACCCCATAGGGCCATGAACACAAGCCCTGTTCCTAGCCTGACCCTTTCCGCATTGTTGTTAGCCGCCCTGAGCCCAGCTTCGGCTGGGGAGGGCGGGATATAAATAAAATTTATTATTATTATTATTATTATTATTGAATAGGAATGTCATATGTTCTCCTGAACACGGTTACAAGCCTCTCTGTGATCAGAAACCCCAATACTGCAGGATTCCTGCTTGCACAAAGGTTCATAACATGCTAAGGATCCCCCTTTAGACCTTTCCGCTCACCATGGGTGAAGCAGTTACATGTCGGGATGTTGGGGAAGAAAGAGACATACACATGTTCGTTCCTGCACCATGAATTGAGATACTACATGTAGGAATAATGTCTTCCTGCTAGCTGCAAAGCAAGCCATTGTGAGGCCAGATGGCAGCCCATAATTTAGGGTATCCCGCAATTTGGGTGTCATGTACAAAAAGTCCCCAATATTCACCTATCCACGTGAGTGCATGGGCAGCACCTGTCAGGCCATCCCCTTTGAAGTTGAGGTTGGGGTGTGGTGAAAACTTAGTAACCTTAGGGGAAGGCTGGAGGACATGTGGCCCTCCAGGCGTTATTGGACTCCCATCATCCCCAACAAGCATAACTAATGGTCAGGGATGATAGGAGTTGGGAGTCCAACAGCACCGGGAAGACCAAAAGTTCCCCAGCCCTGCCTTAGGGACAGGTGTACTAGTAGCACAGACCAGCAAGTGCACCTAACCTCACCTGGAAGCTTTGGTCGGGACATCGCCTGACCTGCTCTGGCTTGTGGTGCAAGAAGACTGCATTGATTAGATTCTCCACAATTCTTTCTTCTGGCCAAAGTAGGGCAGGCCAACATCCTTCAGATCCCAGGTCAATCTGATTTTGGAATATAGAAAACATAGGAAGCTATCTTATATCAAGTCAGACCATTGGTCCAGCTAGCTCAGTACTGTCTGCACTGACTGGCAGCGGGCCTCCAGGATTTCAGGAAGTTCTCCCATCCCTACCTGGATATGAACCTGGGACCTTCTGTTTGAAAGGCAAATGCTCTACCACTGAGCTATGGCCCTTCCCCCATTTTGCAGTCTGGATGCACAAAGTCTACTAAATGTACATTCAAATGTATAGTTACAGTATCATGAGAATGTAAGAAGAGCTTGCTGGAGCAAGCCAATGGCTCATCAAGTCCACCATCCTGTTCTGAGTGCCACAGTGGCTATCCCCCATCAAAGTCCACTGAGCTGCCTTCAGAAAGGGGTTGTTTGGGTTTTCTTTTGCATGATTTTGCCATGTAAGCTAGTAACGTTGCAAAATCCTTTTTGTGATGTGTATGTACATGGTTCCCACTTTAGAATTTATAAAAGATTGAAAGGATTTGTGCTCTTAAACCATTTCTTAGGCAGTTTTTAAAAAATGTATATCTACCACCCACTGGATCTGCTTCAGTATTGGCATAAAGAATAAGAGTCTGTGGTTTCTCTCAATTTGTTTCACAGCCTCACTACAGTTCCTGTTTTTAATAAAGATTAATGCAATGCTCAGTAGCATTTGGAAGTTGACTGGGAAGAATTAAACAAAACTGGTGGGGAGTCAGTAAATAGGAGATGCCTTGGGCAGGAGAATACGGTTTGTTAGAACAGAACAGATGGTAAGGAACAATACAAAAGGTGAAGGAAATAAAAGGAGTAGTGGGCACTAAGGGAAATAGATTGAATTTTAGCTGTTAAAAGCACCGAGTTTGTTAATGAATATATTATATCAAAATGAATAGGGAAAATAAATACAAAGGGCTTGTGTCATTGTGAGGAGTGAAACAAAACGTGAAAATAAAAGGATAGGTAAGGACTTTAAAAATAAACAGGGTAACAACGAAACATTAGCAGTGAAGCTGCTTATTTTTCATGCTTGCCTGAAGGCAAGGAAATTGGTAATGTTCCATTGTTCCCTCTTGTGGGTGAGGTACTAGAGTGAAGTCACTTAAGTCTCAGGCAAACGGGTTGGTTTACCTTATTTATTGAGGACATCTTGTTCCCGCTTGCCTTTAAAGTGAAGTCACAACCATCTGAATTTGGAACCGAGTGTCCTGTTTTGCAAATAGATTGCAGCCAGATGCAGTTGATTAGATCACAAAATTCCTCCTTTTTGGAGCAGAGGAAGGGAAAGGAGGAGGCTTGTGGAGTGCAGCTGAAAATTTGGGCTATGAGGATGTACAAGAAATTTGTAAGTCTTGATCGCAAGTTTAGGAGTGATAGCACACTGGCTCAATCTAGCTTAACTGCAGGTGCTCAGAGGAGAACATACAGATAATGGGAAGGCCCGTTTTTTACATCTGCAGGCGTGGCAGTGGATGTGCTAGATTGATGTCTGGCCTCAGGGACTGTATAAGTGTCAATAAACTGAAGTTTAATCCTTGTAAGATTGAGGTGCTGTTCCCTAGACTAGTGGGATGTGGTATGGCCTGCTCTAGGTGAGGTTACACTCCTTCTGAAGGAGCAGGTACAAAGCTTGGGGTTACTTCTGGATCCACTACTGTTGCTTACATAAGAACGTAAGAAGAGCCTACTAGATCAGACCAATAGCACATCTAGGCCAGCATCCTGTTCTCATATGAACCAGATCCTGTACTTGTCATCTGAACCCTTTTTCTGTGTGCTTCCTCTGAATAGTGTGGAGCGTGGTGACATAAGAGAAGGCCTTCTAAGTGGTGGCTCCTTGTTTGTGAAATGCTCTCCCCAGATACTCATGCCCACCACCAAACCTATTTCTTAGGTTCTTAGGTACCTGGCAAAACATTTTTATTCACTAAGGCAGTGATGGCCAAACTTGGCCCTCCAGCTGGTTTGGGACTACAACTCCCACCATCCCTAGCTAACAGGACCAGTGGTCAGGGATGATGGGAATTGTAGTCCCAAAACAGCTGGAGGGCCAAGTTTGGCAATCACCGCACTAAGGCCTTTGGACCTTAATTTTCTCCTTATCTTTTAGTGGGGTTCTGTTGGATCTGCTCTTTTATATATGTAATTGGTGAGCATTTAGGGGTTGTTTTTCCTCTTGTTTTTAAAAGTAAATTTGAATTCACCTTTCTGAAAAAAGCAACTAATAAATAGAACAAATAAGCCTCTGAGCCTTACTTTTTATTTATTTTATTACAGATCATGGTTTTTATCCAGGGATCTTGAGACAGTATAAACTATATTGTCTAGCTGTTTCCTCACCTGGCAGTGATTACTAGACCAGATCTGCTTAGCTTCAGGAAGGTTGCTGCTTCATGTACTTTCATACTATGCTCTTAGAAGAATGAAACATTTCTTATCATCTCATCCAGTAACCAGGTGGACCTATTCTCTATAAATAGATCAGTACTTTGGAAAATTCCAGACTGGAAAGCAGTTTAGAAAGGAAGGAATTTAGTTACAGCATGCAAGGGCCCTATAGAACCCATTTACTTGTGAATAATTCCAGAAGACTTCACACAATCATGACTTTCTCAAAACTTCAACTGTTCCCTAAGGTCTATTCTAACAGGAAATGTAAAGCGTGCAAGCCCGATTCTTTCCATTTCCCTTTGATCTGCTTTCCTCTGGTCTGAAGACAAAAGCAAGGCCCTAAGAAGTATTGTGTTTTGTCTCTGCTGCACCTGGTAAAAGTTCA